TGACTGTCTAGAAATTAATACATATATATATTTTTAATTCTCTCATTATTCTGGCATTTAGCAAATGTAAATAATTTAGGTAATACTAACGGAGCTAAAATAGTAAACGTTTAGTATGATTTACCATCAGACATTTAAAAAAATTGGTGATTGTCCTTTTTTTTGGACTTTATGTAAACTTCTGGTTTCAACTGTATATGATATATAATGTACAACACATACTAATGTCTCGCAGTGTTAACAAAATAAACACTATTACCACAAAATAATTAATAGAGAACAATTTTATTAATTTCCTCAAGGTTTCTTCATACACGTTTGGATCTGTGTATACAGTTGGTGGAGAAAGGTGCATTACAATACAAGACCAAGAAAGAGAGCAAAGAGAAAGTGAAGGTAAGGGAGATTTTACAGGGCAAGTCCATGTTGGCCACAATCAAACTGGCCAAATCAAAAAGAGGGAGAATTTGAAGATTACCCAGAAACCACCTCTGGTATTTGGCCTTATGTTACATTACATACAGACAACAGTGTCAAAAAAAATTAGAATAAATAACAAAATACTTTTTTTTCTGAAATTAACTGATTAGCGGTCCGGCCTTACAGTATATCTCATTCCCTTTCTTTATAGTTTCTGTAGGTCAAGTTTACATTCAGCATGCAGGTTTATTTTACAGTACCAAATGCTAAGTGTTCATTTGATGGATGCGATCAGCAGATGATAAAATATATGACTAGCATTCTGCTTCAGAAAATGTACGAAATAATTAATAGGAAGGTGAAAAAACAATTCAATTAATGTTACTATATTTGAGTGCATAAAGGAATATTTCCAAAGCATCGGACACATGCTGTCGATCACCACAGAAAGCATTCAAACAATGAAATACACATCTTGAGTTCTACTGTAAGCGGATTTCCATTAACAATTCATCACTTGCTGTTTTTACAAACTTGTATAGATTACTCCTATAAATTTATCTGATGTATTCTGTCATAATGAACAACTTGCCTTCAATATGCTGGTTTTAGCTTGTCCAGGTATAATGCTACTTTGATTTATTTGAATACTTAAAGGTAAAATCAGCCAGATTTTTCCAATGAAAGCAGGACTGTTCCAATTAATTAGTCTGCTTAAATATTACGTTCGCCTGTCTTTATTTATTTAGTTTTTTCAAAGATTGTTTTACATTACATCTTGTAAAATTCTTTGAAGCAAGTTGTTTTAGATTATAATCCAATACAATTTGATGTATGAAAGCCCATTTCTGCCACAGGATAAAATAAATAAAGAAATCAAAATGTAAACATTTTAAAAATATGTAAAATAAAATAACGACTTTTTCAGGTTTCTGACTCTCATCTAATTTCAACAATTAAATGTCTAGAAGCAGAGCTTATATTTTCTTGCATTTAATAAGATTTTACAGTTGATTTTTTGGTCAGTTTTGTAAATTTTTAAAATCGTAAAAAAGAAGATGCAGGCTGCTAAAAAGTAAAAATAAAATGAATAAACATATTCATTAAATAATAATTTAGTTTAATCATTATAAAAGCATTAATCAAATAAAATTATGACTTTTTTATGTCAGATTAAACTTGTTTAGTTCATTGCAATTTTAACCTTCCAAAGTGTACAAATTTTAATTGCAAGATACAAGATCATAACTCTGAAAACTTTGAATTGTGAAACTAAAATATCTTAATTGTGAGGGGGAAAAAGATAGAAACGTCAGACGCTGACTTGAAATTGCCAGTTTGAAACTCAAATTGCGAGATTTAAGAAGAAAAGTCAGAATTGTGAGATAAAATAGTGACTGCTTTTATTATTTCTCTTATTTTGAGGTGGAAACAAGCTTTCATATGGATGTCCATCACAGATATACTAAAATATCATCCAACATTTCATTTTAAAATTACATATGGAACCCCGTTTCTACCACAGGATAAAAAGTTTAAAAATGTAAACATATTACGATTAAACAAATTAATAAAAAAATGAATAAAACAATTAATCAAATCAAATGACGACTTTTTATGTCAGATTACTGATTCTCATCTAATTTTGAAAATTAAACTTATTTAATTCATTGCAATTTTGGCTTTCCACAGTTTACAAATTTTAAATCGCAAAAAATGTGAAAACTTTGAATTGTGAGACTAAAATGTTCTAATTGTGAGCGGAAAAAGCTAGAATCGTCAGAGGCTAACATAAACTTGTAGGTCTTGAACTCGAATTGCGAGATATAAACTCATTTCAAGAAGAAAGTCAGAATTGTGAGATAAAAAAGCGACTGCTTTTATTATTTCTCTTATTCTGAGGTGGAAACAAGCTTCCATACGGATGTCCATCACATAAAAATTTTTATTTCATCCAACATCATCGAAAGTTATCAATTAGCTGTGAAACCATGTCATATCTTAAGAAATACTGCAGCATTTTTATTATAATTAATCTAATTTTGAGAATTAAATGGATTTAATTCACTGCAATTTTGGAATTTAAGTTTACAAATTTTAAATTGCAGAAATTTTGAAAACTTTGAATTGTGAGACTAAAACATCCTTCAAGAGTTCGCACTTAGATATGCTTAGCATTTATAGTAGGTTTGGCATGCTGTCCCGGGAGAGAACCCTGAGCTCAGAGATATTTGAGCCCAGGGTTCCCACCCGGTCAATAAGCATATCAGAAGATCCGAGATCAGGTAGGTCTCGAGAGCTCCTCCTTGGAAAAGGGAGGAAAAGGAGGAGATGGGGTGGAAGGGGGGATTCTTTCAAAACGAAGATAGAGCAGTAGGGAGAAAATGATCCATTTATAGTAAACTAGGATCACTCTGATTAGATTATTGCTGATTACAGATGAGGGGCCAGTCGTGCTCAATCATATCACGTGCTCCTCTCGAATTTAGTTTATGAAACTTCACTTATTGTAAGGGGGAAAAAAGCTAAAATCGCCAGGCGATAACATGAAACTGCAGGTTTTGCACTCAAATTGCGAGATATAGAATAATTTCAAGAAGAAGGTCAGAATTGTGAGATAAAATAGCAACTGCTTTTATTATTTCTCTTATTCTGAGGTGGAAACAAGCTTCCTTATGGATGTCCATCACAGATATACAGTAACATGGTAAAACCGTGTCATATCTATAGAAATCCTGACTCTCAAAAAACAGAAGTGATGAATTGTTAAGTCTGATCGACGGCTCGCCATCACAGTTCTGGATACACTTGTTGTCCCTCCCTCCCCCTCTATACCACTTTTAGCCTTTCTAAATGGCTATATTTACCCTCCAGGCCGATCATGCTTGTACTCTTGTTCTGACACACACACACACACACACACACACACACACATAAAGTGCACAAGTGACCATTTGGAACAAAGACATATCAGGCAATAAAATGTGATTTTGGCTCCAGTAAAAACTCTACGAACTGTAAAAGTTGTGAGTTTTGATTTAAAATGATGTCGAGAAAAAGTCTGGCACAACGAGTTGGAGTTTGTGGATGGTGAGAGATTTGTGGATACTCACACGCACACATACGCAGAGAGAGAGAGAGAGAGAAGTGCTGCCTTGTATGAACAATAAACAGATTAAAAATGTAAGGCATAGTGTGACAAGTGTTCTGAAGAGAAGGAGCTTAATAACATTGCTAAGAATATAAGCTGTCAGGTTGCTATAGTAATAAATGTGTGTAAATGTGATGCACGACAAGCTCAGATTGCACAGCAACTAACACACGCACACACACTCACAAACACACTCACTTTTTTATCCATTTCCATCAACTCTGGTGGAAAACCAATCCTATGTAATATTTTCATTGCAAAGGCATTCTTGGTGAAAGTAAATCAAATTCACCCCTCCCCCCCAACCCGCCCCACATCAAAACAATAAATAAAATCAAACAATCAAAATAAAAAAGCTTCAACAAAAAGCACAAAGTGATTTAGGATATATAAAACTGTATGGAAATGAAAGATAAAGCAGCGACTTCAGAGAAAAATCATGCTATAAAATCCCTTTCGAAGATTTACAAGGAAAAAGTCTTTTCAAGATCTCGATTCTAGCCACTCTCCTTAAACCTATAAAAAGGAATAGTTCACCAAAAGCAATGTCCCAGCGAAACACAAAGGGAGACGTTTTATAGAATGTTTATGCTGTTCCTGTCCATACAAAGTAAAAACTTGATCAAGTAAGATGTGTGGTGCTGATACTAGCCACTCTCCTTAAACCCATAAGTAGGAATAGTTCACCCAAAGCAATGTCCAATTGGAACAAAAAGAGAGACGTTTAGTAGAATGTTCATGCTGTTCTTGTCTAAGTAAAGCAAAAATATAGCAACCAAGATATATACAGTTGAATTATTAGCCCCCTTTGAATTTTTTTTCTTTTTTAAATATTTCCCAAATGATGTTTAACAGAGCAAGGAAATTTTCACAGTATGTCTGATAATATTTTTTCTTCTGGAGAAAGTCTTTTTGTCTTATTTGTTTCATTTCGGCTACAAAAAAAAGCAGTTTTTAATTTTTTTAAAAGCCATTTTAAGGTCAAAATTATTAGCCCCTTCAAGCTATATATTTTTTTCGATAGTCTACAGAACAAACCATCGTTATAAAATAACTTGCCTAATTACCCTAACCTGCCTAGTTAACCTAGTTAAGCCTTTAAATGTCGCTTTAAGCTGTATAGAAGTGTCTTGAAAAAGATCTAGTCAAATATTATTTACTGTCATCATGGCAAAGATAAAATAAATCAGTTATTAGAATTGAGGTATTAAAACTATTATGTTTAGAAATGTGTTGAAAAAAATGTTCTCACAGTTAAATAGAAATTAGGGAAAAAATAAACGGGGCTAATAACTCAGGGGGGCTAATAACTCCGACTTCAACTGTAACACTGCAAAATGGGTAACTAAAAAAGGCACAATTTTTTCATTTACACTAGAAATGGTATAGTTCTTGGAAAAAAAAACAACATGGTTCTCGTCATGGTTAGTTTTTTTTTTTTTAGTTTTGAAGTGAGTGTTTGGAGTGTTTTGGTTTGACTGGATTATGTGATTCCACATTATAAATTCCTCTCTCTCTATTCTTTTTTTTTTTTTTTTGAGAAATTGGCTGCAGCGTTTGTGTGCTTGAAAGAGAGAGTGTATGCAGGGTTTCTACAGGTTTCATAAAGTCAAATTTAAAACTTTTAAGACCACTGCAAATGAAATTTCAGACCCACACAAGGCTAAACGCTAAAGATTTTATCCAACATCCCAGTTATTAAAAACCATTAAAACACGTGTTATTGTAAAGGAGATAGGTAAATCATATTAGTAAATCAAATTAATAAATAAACTTTTATTTTGTTGTTTTTTTTTATAATAATGTTGAACATTAGTCAATTAAATTTGTATGTTTAAATTCAGCCTATATAAATTGTTTGCAACCACTTTATCTTTGAAAAAAGGATTTACTAATTTAGTTAAGGTAAGTGGCTGCAAACAATTTATTAAGGCTGAATTTAAACAAACTAATTAAATTTAGTAATTTAGTTACTTTATTTGTTTGTTTAAATTCAGCCTATATAAATTGTTTGCAACCACTTACCATAAGTTTTTAGTAAATCTAATAAATAATTTTTTCAGTGTGTAAAATAGGAAGATGTGCAATGCTAGAGCTTTGATGTAAAAATATCATGAGTTATGTTTGTCCAATCAATGCTTCTAATGGATTAGTATTGTACCCAAGAATACCTTTTTACAGGTAAACCTAGGTCAATTTTGAAGAATAAAATAAGATTCAGTTTTCCCAGGAATGTGTTACACCAGGTTATATATTCCACAAAAAATACTTTAAGGCCATTGTCATTATATGAACTATTCCTTTAAATCTCCAGTGATTAAAGTTAATTAAAAATGGTTAAAAAGTAAACAATAAAAATTATGGGTAACTTGATACGCACGTCAACAAAATGCCTAATCAACCATAGTCAGTGCTGGGAAATCAGAGAACTGTAAACAGTGAAAAAACTAATGAACACTGTCGCCGTCTGCTGGTCACTCCTGATATTGCACCTTAATGAGTAAAACCGTCACGCGTCTCAGAAACAGAGCACACACTGCTCACTCATAACCCCTCCTGAGTTCAGCACGCTTATAATAAACACATGTTTTAAAAGTAAAAATTGATCTCAACTCAGAATAAAATTCACTTCAGGGCTATTAAGTCACACAGCACAAATGTAGACGGATATGAATTGGAGATATGCAAAGGTAATTGTTAGCAATGACGGTGCACCTCTTTAAAAGTGTGCCATGTTGATAAAGTGGTTAAGAAAGGCTAATTTTCTTCTCAATCGAAGGCAAAGCTCAGTGAATGCAAATATCAATCAGGTTTCGACTATTGTAAAGTGGCACATCTTTAAAACCGGACCAAACGACGACCAGTACAACGCAAAAATAAAATAAAATGATAAAATATGGTTTTAAAATATGGTAAAAACTAAATGTAAACACAAGAAAATGGTGAAATTGGAACCCCAGGACATGTGCCGGAAAAACCACTGCCATGAGGCCTGGCTCAGTCCGGCTTGCACTTGCCCTGATGGGAAGGATTTCATAGGAGGGGTTGTGGTTCTGAGACTGATTCCTCCTAGTCCAGTTTCACTCCAGGCTTCTCTGTGTTCAGGAGGTGAAGGCTGTCGTCTATCAGAAAACTGCAGAAACAGAAAAGCAAAGACAAATGCAGACTGTAAAAAAAGTTGTAAATAAAAATGATCTTTTAAATAAAAATGAAACAGTTTGCATTTATAAAGTGTGTTTCACACAGGTGAGTGGTTTGACAAACCACCCGTACAAACACTCTTCTCTCTATAGAACTTAATTCTCTGAGCACTAACAGTTCTTTTGTATAATTATCACTTCCTGTGTTTTGCCTCTTCTTGTTGAATCGCTGAACGCCTCCTCAATTGTAAGCCACTTTGGACAAAAGCATCTACTAAATGACTACAAAATTGTTTAATTGATTTTGTTAGTGGCTGTTTCTTTGTAATTATTAATTAGCTGTGGTTTTACAAGCTGAATTTGAGGAATTTTTGGGGTTGTGTTTGAGATGCTAAAAAAGATGAAAGCTGAAGTTTTTACCACAAATTAGCTTCTTCCAAGTAAAAAAATATTGCAGAATCGTAAATGCTGTAATGTTTTTTAACTGTAATGTAGTAAAGTACTTGAATTAATATGTTAGAGTTATTTTATATTTGCTATGGTAATACAGCAACTATAATAAACTAAACTAATTACCTAATACTGTAGTTTACTACACCTATAGGGTACATTATACTACAATATACCACAGTTTACTGTACTAAAACAAAATTGTCATACAATATTCATTACAATTCACATTTAATACTACAGTATGCTGTAGCATTATTAACAAAGATTTGTGAACACTTTAATATGTATATACAGTAAAATACACTTTTGCTACAGTATAGTTCAAAACCACTATATATATGCATTGTTTGTCAATAACAAAGCATTTGTTAAAGGAATTAGGAACGATACTGTAAAGCAGGCACATTCAAACTCGGTCCTGGAGGGCCGGTGTCCTGCAAAGTTGAGTTCCAAGCCCAGTCAGACTCCCCTGGGCCAGCTAACCAAGCTCTTATGAGGCTTTCTAGAACATCCTTGCAAGTGTGTTGAGGCAAGTTGGAGCCAAAAATTAGCAGGATACCGGCCCTCCAGGACCGAGTTTGGACACCCCAGCTGTAAAGTGTACACTATTCTAACATTATCTAATGTGTTACTAACATCTGTTAACACATACATAATTAAACAATATGGAAGGCTCATGCTAGATTCATTAGCAGTCAACCGATATGGGTTTTTGTGAAGGCCAATGTCGATATCATGGAAAGATGGGTGACCAATGGCTAATATTAAGCCCATAATAAACTGAATTTAAAAATTGAATTACATTCAATAAATACATGTTCCCATGGTGAAAATGACATGAATATGACAGTGGGTATAAAGTGCAAAAAAAAACAATATTGGCCATGGCTATATATCGGTTGACCACTAGTCCCCACCAACCTCAAAAGCAAATCTATGCCCTTGCTGCAGACTAACATGCACGTGTGAGAGTGCACCTGTAAAAGAGGAAATGGACAGGCACAAAGCTGTGATATATCAGGACTAGTGGTCGACCAATATATCAGCCATAACAATATTTTGGCTTACCACTAGTCTTTATTAATGTCGAAATCAAATCTACGTCCTTGCAGCACAAGCAACATGCACGTGTGAAGGCGTACTTGTAGAAGAGAGAGTGTATGGGCACAGTGCTGAGATTTATCCATGCTAGAGGTCAACCAATATATCGGCCACAGCGATATATAGGTCAAACACTAGTCCCCATCATTTTCAAAAGCAAATCTATACCCTTTCTGCAGATTAACCTGCAAAGTAAATGGATAGGCACAGTGCTGAGATATATTGGGCTGAGTAATTGACTGATATATCGGTTTACCACATGTCCCCATAAAAGTCAAATGCAAATCTACGCCCTTGCTGCAGACATGCACATGTGAAGGTGTACCTGTAGAAGAGGAAGTTAATGGGCAAGGTGCTGAGATTTATCGGTACTAGTGGTCAACCGATATATCAGCCACGGCAATATATCGGTCGACCACTAGACCCCATCAATTAAAATAGCAAATCTACTCTCTTGCTGCAAATTAAATACACAAATGTAAAGGTGTACCTGTAGAAGAGAAAGTGGATGGGCACAGTGCTGAGATGTATCGGTACTATGGTCAACCAATAAATCGGCCACGTCGATATATCGGTCGACCACTAGTCCCCATCAATTTCAAAAGCAAATCTACTCTTTTGCTGCAGATGCAATATGCAAATATGAAGGTGTACTTGTAGAAGAGGAACTGGATGGGCACAGTGCTGAGATGTATCGGTACTAAGATCGACCGATATATTGGCCACGGCAATATATCGGTCGACCATTAGTCCCCATTAATTTCAAAACCAAATCTACTCTCTTGCTTCAGATGCAATATGCAAATATGAAAATGTACCTGTAGAAGAGGAACAAGCACAGTGCTGCAATATATCAGGACTAGTGATTAACCGATATTTAAGCCATGGTGATATATCAGTCGACCACTAGTCCCCAAACATTTCAAAAGAAAATCTAGGTCCATGCTGCAGACCCAACATGAGAAGGAGTACCTGTAGAAGAGGAAGTGGACGGGCACAGTGCTGAGATGCCAGACAGCATGAGCATCTAGAACCCAGAAGAGTGGAGGGAAATCCAGCAGCTCCAGCAGAGCAAGACCATGCAGTAAGAGCACCACCATCCCACACTTCCACCAGTATGGCAAGATCCTCCGGTTCAGCCAACACCAGCACAGCCACCAGAGCAGGTTTATTATGCCTATGATCAAAGAGCAGGATCAGAAGGTGAGAAAGAAACACTTCATGTAGCCCATTAATGTGTGAGTCAGGCTTTTAATGGTGTAATGGATTTGTTCCATAACGTGAAGCTGGTTTAGCGCTGATGCCAGTGATGTTTATATTGTGATATTATTTTTGGTTTCCACTCATTATGCTTTTTTTTTGTTTGTATAATCAAATTGAGTATTTTTTTAATTAATAATGCCAGGCATTAATAAATAGTAATTGAATTATACAGTTGAAGTCAGAATTGTTAGCCCCCCTTTGAATTTTTTTCTTTTTTTAATATTTCCCAAATGATGTTTAACAGAGCAAGGAAATTTTCACAGTATGTCTGATAATATTTTTTCCCTTTCTTTTATTTCTGCTAGCGTAAAAGCAGTTTTTATTTTTTTATGAACCATTTTAAGGTCAAAATGATTAGCCCTTTTAAGCTAAATTTGTTTCGATAACAAACTATCATTATACAATGACTTGCCTAATTACCCTAACTTATCTAATTAACCTAGTTAAGCCTTTAAATGTCACTTTAAGCTGTATAGAAGTGTCTAGAAAAACATCTAGTAAGATATTATTTACTGTCATCATGGCAAAGATAAATAAATCAGTTATTAGAGAGGAGTTATTAAAACTATTATGATTAGAAATGTGTTAAAAAATTCTCAGTTAAACAGAAATTGGGGTAAAAAATAAACAGGGGATAATAATTTAGGGGGCTACTAATTCTGACTTCAACTGTATATGAACAAATTTTGGTTAAATATTTAGCAAAAATTACTGTGTAATAGAGGTCTGCATTCCCACGGCTATATCGCGGGACCCGACCAGATTTCTTTCGGTGCTGGAATAAATTTCCGAATAATGTGCGGGAGCAGTCAGTAACTGGTCTTTTTTTGGACGGGAAAGGCCAGTCTAACAATATCTTTCCAGACTCCCGAGCGAGCGAGCACGTGCATGTATGTGTGTAAATGAGAGAGCGTGAAGTGGACCAAAATAATCGTGATTATGATTTTCCCCATAATCGAGCAGCCCTACTTTGAACACAATATAAATTTTATTTTGAGAAACATTTAAAATATTTTCGAGCAGTAAACACGTAAGGCTAAATAATTCAAATGAACCATTGACTTCTGCTGTCTTTATTTGCTTCAAAAACACAGATCTCTTTACAATTTTAAACGCCATCTTTGGATATCTTTTCTGCGGGAGATACTGTTGTCCTAAAAAACAAATATAAAAAATTCTACACATACCTTAGGAACGGTATTACAGACAATTTTGCTTAATTTTCAGTTTAATTGGACCCAAGAAGAGGAAAAAAAAACTAGTGGAAATTTGGCAGCAGCACCTGTGTCTGTTTGACATGTCATTTGAGATATATCACAACTGGGCCAAAGCAGGGTTCAACGCTAAGGATTTTTTCTACTGGCCCGATTGGGCCAGCGGTTCAGATTTTTACTTGCCCTGCGAATATTTTCACTGGCCCCACCAAAAAAAAGTTAAGTTAATAGATATTTCTTAGCCACATGTTTTTAATATTGTGTCAAAAATGTGTTTTGAATCTAGAATTTTTATATTTTTTAAAATGTTAAAAAATGTATAATGAGCATATCTTCGCATTGTACCCACGTAAATGTCTGCTTCCAAGACATTCTTTTAGCCTCATAAATTCATTTCGCTGTACTGGTTTTTACCAGGTTGCAAAAAAAACGACATGCTCACAACATCCAATCAGATAGAAGGAACCGAAAAGCAACATGGTGGTTACGACATCACTGAGAAGGCAGCATTTAAAGGCTTAAAAGCACAAACTGTTTCTCGATTCTAAGACTGCATTCATATTCAATTGACAAATAGTCGCAGACAAATTGAACTCTTGTGACAAGGCACTACGAATCGGGCCAGTAACAATTCTGTCTACTGTCCAGAGCGCCTCGCATGCTGGCCCCGGGCCACCGGGCAGTCCTTATTGTTGAGCCCTGGCCAAAGAAGAAACTAAGTTGAGGGGAAATTGCTAATTCTCTTCAAACCCAGGAGAGCAAATATGTAAATTTTCTACCCCATTAAAAGTTTCTTTCTCATTATGTAGTTAATAACAAAAGATATACGATGTGGTTGTGAGACGTTGTTTGGACAAAGTTGTCGGCGATTCTTCCTACTGTAAAGTCATGCAGTGTGAAACCCCCTGTCGCCGATCCATCTTGCAGTGTAAACAAAACAGCGAAAAACACTACCCAGACAGTCATGCAGTGTGAAAACATCTGTGAAACGATTACTTCGAAAATCATGCAGTCTGAACTGGGCATTATTTTACTAAGATAACCCTGCTTTACACAACACCTCACCTATAGAGGCGTTGGCAGCCATGTTGTACCCATAGTCAAAACTGACAAAGGTCAGATAAGACACATGAGATGTGAAGGCCAGAATGAGCAGAACTCCCACCATGCTGGAAATTGCCGGTCTGCGCAAGCCCAACGTCCTGAAACACAAACATTAATCCTCAAATCACCATCATTACCGCATAATCCTCAACAGTACTACATGTTATCCAGATCACACACCTGACACAGCACAAGTAGATGGAGTAGAGAATGACAGCTGACGCACAGAAGTAGTCCATCTTCTACAAAACAAAATGACAAAATGGACTCATTTATAGGTTTATTAGTAAAGATCATGTGAAGAGCATGAAATGTGCCGTTTTTATTTAGTGTTTGACATAATTTCAACTGAAACATGAAGACAGGGTGGGGCATAAAGTAGATCCTCCCATTAAAAAAATAAAAACAGCTAATAGGTTGTTTGCGATCACGTGGATCTGGTGACACGCGAAATTCAGATGGATGGCAGAAAGTAAAAACTGAATAGGAGATGTAGAGACAAGTCTGTATTTGTGCGATTTATACCATATTTCAAAGGAGAGGTAAATAGAAAACAACCACTTATGTTGGACATGATCCTTATATCATGAAGAGGGCAGAGTTTTCTACTGAACTAAAATATATTTATAATAATAATAATAATAATTCCTTACATTTAAATAGCGCTTTTCTGGGCACTCCATGTGCTTTACACATAGGGGGGAATCTCCTCATCCACCACCAGTGCGCAGCATCCACCTGGATGATGCGACGGCAGCCATTTTGCGCCAGACCGCACAGCACACACCAGCTGATTGGTGGAGAGGAGACAGAATGATGAAGCCAATTATGATATGGGGAGGGTTAGGATGCCATGATGGGCAGAGGCCAGTGGGCAGAATTGGCCAGGATGCCAGGGTTAAACCCCTACTCTTTTCGAAGGACATCCTGGGATTTTTAATGACCACAGAGAGTCGGGACCTCGGTTTAACGTCTCATCCGAAAGACGGCGCTCACTGAGCAGTATAGAATCCCCGTCACTATACTGGGGCATTAGGACCCAAACAGTCCGCCCCTGCTGGCCTCACTAACACCTCTTTCGGCAGCAACCTAGCTTTCCCATGTGGTCTCCCATCCAGGTACTGACCAGGCGCAGCCCTGCTTAGCTTCAGTGGGCGACCATGTGAGAGTTGCAGAGAGCTACCTGCCGGCTTAGTTGCCTGTCACTGAGGCGGTAGATACTGTATAAGCTATTACGTTCCATGAAAAAATACTATAGTAAACACTTTAGTGTTTGGAAGCATACTATAGATAATTACTTGAATTAAACTGTCATAGTAATTATTGCTGTTGAATAACAAACTTTAGTAATAAACAAATTATTCAACAGGCTTCAGTTTTCTATGCTATTGCATTGCAACGCACCACAGTTTACACTAACATTACAGTATTTATTACAGTTTACCATGCTGCAGTATTCAGTAACATTCATTAATAAAGAGTTGTACACACTATACACTTTACTTTGTGGTTCAAAAACATGTTTATTATATATTACTATAGTTTTAATTATGCAAATATCTTTCAGAAATCACAAAATAACTAGTGCTGTCAAAATTAGTGCGGTAACGGATGCGATTAATTTGAAATAATTAACGCGTTAAAAAAATATATGCAATTAAAGCAGTTGCGGTTTTTTTATTTCATGTTGTGGCTGTGGTGTGTTCAACATGCAAAGAAATATGGATAAGACGAAGTAAGCACTTTTTTAAGGCAAGTTTCAGTATAAAATAATTATTGTCGCATTACCAGGCTCTCCAGCGTTCAGAGTTTCATCAAATTTCGTATGTTTAATTTTTAACTTTCGACTTTTGTTTTAATGTAATTTGATACCGCATGGCGAACGGAAAGAAAAACCTCTCGCTGTTTTTACATGGTAGACCCTTAATAAGAGTATATACACAAACACTTTAAAGTATTAATATAGTGGCCTTCAAAAAAAGTACTTCATACTTTGCAAAAATGTACATACAAATATATGGATGGAAACAGTAATTAATGTTCATCCAAAGTACAATTAGTCTAAAACTACTGAAAAGCATCTCTTGAAAGCTTACCTCTGTTAGATAGGTGTCTCTTGTGTGGAATACAGTAGACCAGAACCATGCATTCAGGGAAACCTGCAGAAAGAGACACATACAGGGTTGAGCACAATACATTTTCTTTGGGCTACAACAGCACTTAAAAATGTCTATTTAGCTTTTTATTTAATTATTGATGTTTTGATAGCAAAAAAAAAACAATTAAAAAAAGCAAAATATGTTTGTTTTCAGACATTGAATGGATCACATATTACCATCACACATTAAAATCAATCACCTAAGTTGAGAATTTTCTTGTCGCATTTTGAGGTAATCTGTGCGTCACTGTCAACACTGTCCCCTAATGGTTGGGAGCATTTCTGTTGTGTTGTGACTTAATAGCATTAGCTATGTTTCCATCCAAAGATGCAAATCAATTTAATTTGCAATATCGCATGAAAGATATAATATCGCATAAAAGATTTGCGAATAATGCTACATTTCCTTCCAATGGATCAAAAAGAACAAAATTGTGACTTTCTGATAAACATAACCTGTGCGAATAGATAATAAATTACTTGCACCTCAGAAGATGAAATGCAATGAACATGCTGTGGATTTTTGAGGCGTGAGATGCTCTTTGGGAGTTCAGAATGCTCAAGACAGAACTGGATGTAGTAATAATAATAATATAATAATAAGAAGAATAATAAGAAGAAGAATACTGAACCACGGTGATGATGTTCAGCTTGTTGGTTTGGCCATTGCACAGGTTTTTAAGATCACATGATCTTTTAAAAAAAAAAAATCCCATTTAAATTTTTATTAGACAATCTAAAATTAACATAAATAGGTGGATGAAAACATAACTACATGTTGTATGCTTTTGTTTTTTATGTTGTTTATGTATATAGTATGTAAGCTTTTTTTTTTTTTAAATGTGTTGTGAACTTATTTCATTGTGTTAAGAGACTATGGGCCCTATCATACACCCGGTGCAATAAGGTGCAAGACGTGTTGGGTGCGATTTGTTGGCATTTTTAGACCAGCACAACTGTAATTTTCATATTTTGCACCCCTTGTTTAAATAGTAAATCAATTTGCACTACTTTGTGCACTCATGGGTGTGCTGGTCCAAAAAGGAGGTGTGTTAAGGCGCTTTGTTAGCACTTTGTAATTTTAACAAACTAAAACAGACCACGCCACTGACCAACTAAAAGCTGGTCTAAAGTTCAAGGTAGAGCACGTTAGCTATGCACCTATACAGTCCAAATGCTTACACATTGCTTAAGACACACGGGATGTACAGCAATACTCAAATATCTTTACATATATGAACCATTAAAGGATTAAAATGTTACAAAACTATTATTTACTAAATAAATATAAAAAACTCTACCTGCATGCCTCCTTCACCTTAATTTTATTTATGACAATTTACAATATGCATTTTAATATTTTTTATATTATTAGTAGTGTTATTTATTATATGCATATTTATATGTGTTTTAATAAAAACAAGCTTTGTCCAAGATTTGTCAACCTGTCTGGTTTTGGAGACATCTGCATCACCATATGGGGCATAAAAAATTAACTCAGCTTTTTACCACACTTCATTATTATTGTTCATTTATTTGTTTGCTGAAAATTAGAACTGAATTAAGAAACACTTTTGAAACAAAACTTTTCACTTAACAAACGAAATTAAATATATAGGCTAATGGATGTCTTCAGAGGAGTGCGTACAACACTGTTTCCTTATCCACAAAAAATAAAGGAGTAAAGAGTAAAAGTAAAGAGCAAGTAAAGAGGTTGAATGAAGGAGGCTCATCCTTTATCCTTGCGCTGCAGATGGTCTGTTTAACTGCTTCCTCGCTAGTGAAGACCAAACGCCAGGGTGCAAACCCTATTTTTTCCGTACTTAAAATAGCAAAAGTGGATGCAAACACGCCCTTAATGCTTTTGCATTTTGCACTTTAGACTTTGCGCCATGAACGTTAAAACAGGGTTTAAAATGTTTGTAATTTACAACTAGTTACAACAAATCCCTTAAGGTAGAAAAGTGCTAATTTGCTAATTATCATAGTGAATGATATTTGCTTCAATAAAGAGGTTTGACACAATCAGTGAGAATCCTGCAATACGCAGAAACATTATATTTATTGGCTTACTTTGGTCTACTACGTCTTCGAGATAAATCTAGCTGTAATCACAATTACTGCTTGTCTCATTCAATTAAGCATAATTGTCAGTGATACTGGCCCCGCTGAGATAAAAATGGCTTTTTCATTTGACATTTTTATTATCCTGCATTCATAACAAGCCTCCAAAGCCTTAATGCTTGCTGTTGCCAGATGTCAAAAGTCTAAATCTCCCAATCACAGCTTTTCCCCCCAATGTTTTACTTTATCTTCCAAACTGGCAGACACACACGCTGCACTGCTGATGATCTGATCTGAAAACAGCTGATTCTCAATCATCTGCTTAAATGAAAGTGTAATAAAGGCAGTCTGCATTCTATCATGAAGTTGCTTGAGCTGTTTTCTGCATCTAAAACTGCAAGAGACTAACTGTGATAAATCCTGGCATGAATCACAAGTAAAGTGTTTGTGAATTTGGTAGCTAAACAAATGCACTTAAACAACCTCTGTGCCACAATGTAAAACATTCATATCATTGCCATAACTGTAAAACATTGGCATAATTTATTTTTACTGGAATTAAACATTAAGAATGATATAATGTCAGCTTTTTTGTAGCACAATGTTTCCTACATAAATTACAACAAATATAATTTTCCTTATTTTTTCCCCATTAGTTTTTCTAAGATTGTATTATGCTTACCATGTATGTGGGACTCTTATTTTGAAAACCAAATCTGCATAATAGAGCTCTCATGCATCTCATCTTATCATAGAGACGGGATTTAAATAAGGTCATAAGGTCTGTTTAATTGTATCTTTTGTTAGTTTAATATTTATACTGTGAAATCTACCACATATGTTTGTAATGAGGCAACAAACACATGTAATCTGCTAAATATAGTGGTTAATGCATGTTTATGCATCATGCAATATCACTCAGCTCTTACTCTGAGTTCAAGGAAAACAACTTTCTGTCTCGGTTTTGTATACATTAAATTTTTTTTAAATACAACTCTAAATACAGACAAACGTCATTAGAGTGTGCACAAAGCAGGAGAATGAAAACAAAGGAAGCGCCATTTTTAAATACACAGCCAACACATAACACTGTAATAGTATATACATATAATAATAAACCATGGTCGAACAGAGCTCCTAACAAACCTTGTCATCTTCTTGATGAACAGCCACAAAGCTAAAAAGAACACAACCTGCTGTGTCCTGTTGTTGTTTACGAGGCCGTCTAAAGCATGAGTAGTTTCACTTCCTCAAGAGAGCTTATGTGCACGCTGCATGTTTATATTTGAAATAACGAACGTAAGTGTATGTGTGTGTAAGTTTTGAGTTTTTTTATTTGTGATTGGTAACATTTCAGAGACTGTGATGGACTGTATGTGTTCATATATGTTTATATATGTTTATATATATATATATATATATATATATATATATATATATATATATATATATATATATATATATATATATATATATATATGCAGATGTTACAGTAGGCAATTTTGCACTTTTATTGATCTGCAGCTATAACAAAATCCTATTCATAGAAAGGTTAGTAATTAACATTTATTTACACATAGGTATTTATGTATATAAAGCATTTGTTCAGTAAGAAGTGCTTCTCATTCAATATGTGAACTTCAAACGAAAATCATGTCGACTGCAACTTTCTGTCGAACACCACACACCAAAAGGGTAGCATTTGGCAGTGGAAAACACTAGCCGGATAAAGGTGACTCATACCAAACCATACCACTCGGTGGAAATTAGGAATTATTTAATTCACTCACTCATTCTAGCTAATATAAACAAACCCCTTCTCCACTACTTCATTTGAAACGATCATGTGTCATCTACTCAATATTTTAAAATATTTTAGACAACTTAACTATGATTATTTTGCACATGTATATTTCAGAGTATACTGTGTGTGTGTGATTGTGTGTGTGTGTGTGTGTATGTGTGTGTGTGTGTGTGTGTGTGTGTGTGTGTGTTATGCTGTGTTCACACCAGACGCTGAACACGTGAATAAATCGCACTATTCATTAAAAGACGCATGAACATTTGGAGTTTACTCGCTTCATTCACACATCAAATCCGCTTCATTTGAGCGTCAAATTCACTGAGAAATAGATGCGGATTCGTGTCCTGGACAAGAAAAAGCTCCTGATTGGTTAACGCAGCGCGAATGTCCGCTGAAGTTCAGATTTTTCAACTTGAGCGATTTGCACGAAACACGCATAAGGCGCGTCAATCGTGCAAAACGCTCAACTCACGCTGCTTCCTTCATGCGTATTCATGTCTTTGCATTGACTTAACATGTATATAACTCGCGCCTGACACTTCTTCCACGTCGTGTATGATTGCAGCATTAGGCATGGGACGATAACCGTTTTAAGGTATACTGCGGTTTGGAAAAGGTTTTAAAACCTCCAAAATTTTCCGCTATGCTGTTCCTATGGTATGTATAAGATTTTTTATTGTTTATTTATTTATTTTTTATTGTTTTGTTTTGTTTTTAGAACAACAGTATCACCAGCAGAAAATATCCAAAGATGCCATTTTAAATAGTAAAAAAAATCTGTGTTTTTGAAACTAATGAAGACAACAGAAGTCAGTGATTGATTGAAATTATTTAGCTTGACATGTTTAGATACTGTCCCAAAATATTTTAGAAGTTTCTCAAAATACAATACATTGTGTTTAAAGCAGAAAAAAAAAGTTGTTGTTTTTAACCAAGACAAAACCTTTTTATCCAAGGTTATCATACCGTCAGAATCTTATACAGGCCCATGCCTAGTGTGTGTGTGTGTGTGTGTGTGTGTGTGTGTGTGTGTGTGTGTGTGTTTGTGTACGTGTTTTTGTGACATATCAGGACACAAATCTGTATAATGACATGGGTATGACACAGGTATTACAAAAAGGAGGTGAAATATGAGGACAATGGTGATGTCCACATTTCTCAAAATGCTTATAAATCCTACAGAATGAGTTTAATCAGAGAGTAAAGCTGCACACAGTCTCCATGGTTGGGTTTAGAGGTGGGGTGGAGTGAGGGCATTAAAAATTTATGGTTTGGACAGTATAAAATGAATGGAAACCTATGTAATGTCCCCACTTTTCACAAAAACAAACAAGTGTGTGTGTGTGTGTGTGTGTGTGTGTGTGTGTGTGTGTGTGTGTGTGTGTGTGTGTGTGTGTGTGTGTGAGCAGAGCTCATTAAAATTCACAACAGTTCCAAATATGGTCAAAACAGAGCTTTCCATTCTTGGGTAATTCCTGTGGTTACAAATGAGCCTACTCATGTTTCTGGATCATTTTGGCAATCAACTAAGCCACATGCCTGCAATGTAAATATCAGAGAACAACTGAACTTATTGAATCAATGCATCCATAGCAGCTTTAAAAGTATTTAGCAAATGTAATATAAAAAAAGCATATGAGTTAATATTCTGAATATTTTGCTTATGCGAAATGCAAACAAATGAACTGTAACAAGGAAATTCTCATGAAAAATAATGTCTTTTCTGAACTCTTTCAAATCCCTCAATTATAGTCTTCAATTACCATAGATTTCACAGGATCTGAAATGCAAATAATCCCCATCCAAGGTTTTCCAAATGGAGAAAATGAGCTAGTATTGCATTTTTAAGGATTTCATGAATCTAACGTAATGATATATACAATTTCTTTAGCAGCAGTTTATATTTACAGCCATAAACTGATGTCATATTAAATAAGAAATTATTGAATGATAGATAACAAAAAATAAAACAATATAATAAATAACGTGTGATGCATTATTACACCTCCAGGCACAACAGGTGCCAATAGTAACCAATAATTCTGATTGTCAGTTTAACTAGTACTGTGTGGCACAATGCACTCATTTAGCATGAATAATGCTGCAGGAAACTGTGTATTTTCATAAGTTGTTCCTTCTAACTCAAAACAAGAATGCAGAAATTCAGGAATCACAAGCGAAAACAAAATGTCAAGGAAGTTATTCAGTTGCAGTTTTTTTAAATGACAGTTAAGAGACTTTCTCACCAGTGAGAAGGCGGTGATGGTGTGGTACATGGGGCTCTGGCGAGGGACTGCGCTGCGGTACCTCAGCAGCATTAGCAGACATGCTAAGCCATTTAGCAGAGATGCTAGTGCCGATGCAGGTTCTTCAAAACATAGGAAACGGGCAAACGGCCACTAAACAAAGTCACAAAAACAGAGAGTTAAAAGAATTCATTTATGTTAGAGTTTGATACTGCTGACAGTTTAAATCTGCTTTAACACTGAAACAGTTGTGCCGCTAACCTTCCCATGAAACTGTGGTATGCTGTAGCCTTCAGCCTGGTAAAGGCCCACGGTGGTCCACATGCACTGATATCTGCAGTCATCACGACACGTCCAGCCTGAAAGATCGCACACTTGATTCAATGCACAGAAAAGGCAGCAGAAAAATAAAAATTCAGACTGATAATTTAGACAATTCGTACATCTAAAATATTAATTAAATCTAATTTAAATGTTTTCATATTATGTTCTGCTATCGTATGTATTACTTACATTATATATCAGACACACAATTAATCTAAAAACTGACTGAACACACTTCGCTTAATTATAGTTTATTATGTTACATTATTTATGATCAATAGTCATTTTTAGAAATGTTTTGCTCTGGTGTCTACTACTGGTCTTTTAGTAGTATAAATAGTAGTAGTCGTTGTAGTAGTATCAATAGTAGTAGTCGTTGTAGTAGTATCAATAGTAGTAGTCGTTGTAGTCGTATCAATAGTAGTAGTCGTTGTAGTCGTATCAATAGTAGTAGTCGTTATAGTAATATCAGTTGTAGTAGTCATTGTAGTAGTATCAGTTGTAGTAGTCGTTGTAGTAGTCGTTGTAGTAGACGATGTAGTATCCGTTGTAGTCGTTGTAGTAGTATCAATAGTAGTAGTCGATGTAGTAGTATCAGTTGTAGTAGATGCTGTAGTAGTATCTATAGTAGTAGTCGTTGTTGTAGCAGTATCAGTTGTAGTAGACGCTGTAGTAGTAGTAGTAGCAGTAGTAGTAGTAGTAGACGACATTGTAGTAGTCGCCGGTGTGGCTATAGTAGCAGCATTAGTAGTAGTAACATTAGTAATTTTCTGTAGTAGTAGTTGGCGTAGTACCTGTAATAATTATTATTATTATTAACATTATTACTATTGTTGACAGTTGTAGTCCTTTCTTTCTTTTCATCATTACCATCATTACATTACTATCATTGTTGTCACTCGTTACCACTGATTGATTTATTTTTCCGTATCTATTTTATATATATATATATATATATATATATATATATATATATATATATATATATATATATATATATATATATACACATACATACATACATACATATATGTATTATATGGATGTACTCAGATTATCCACCTAGTTACCTTTACATGCACACGCACGCACACACACACACACACACACGCACACGTATTTTAATGTTGTTTTGTTCTCTTTGCATCTGATCCCATTTTGTGTACTATTTGCATATTCTAATAATATATATAATATATATACATGGTATATAATAATATATATATATATAATAACATGGTAATAATATATATAATAATAATAATAAAAAATAATAATAAAAAAAAGAAATGTTTTGATCTAAAAATAAGATTTTATGAATACAGTTGTGGGAAAATATTATTCGCTCCCCTGTCAAATTTGTATTCTTTTGCCAAGTGATGTTTAACAGAGCAAGGACATTTTGACAGTATTTCCTATTATATTTTTTCTTCTCGAGAAAGTCTTATTTGTTTTGGTTTGCTTAGGGAAAAAAGCAGATTTTACATTACGCATATTTTAAGCTCAATATTATTATGTTGGCTTGAGAAAGCCAACATGCTGTAATACTACTCTGTCTTCAAAAACAGACAGACTTTTCTTTAGTCATTTCATTATTTTAATTTTCATTTATTTTTTGTTGTTGTTTATGCAATTATTGGACTATTTTGACGGTACTGTGAGTTTTGGTTGTTGTTTTTTAATGAAACCATCATGGACCACTGATTTAGCCTAAAATATTTTTTATTTTTCTTCTAAAGACACCAAAGTCACCTACATCCTAAATGACTAAAAGCAATTACTCATTTTTGTGTGAACTATCCTCTTAAGAAAAGCATGGTCATTTAAACATGGTCTTTTTTTATAGCTCAAAAGGAAACAGAACAAACAAACAGAAAAATAAATGTATGTTTGTTTAAAAAACAGCAAAAGCTGACTGGCTGGTCCAGTCTAGTTGAACTGGTCCCCCTGCATGCTGTTATTTAACTGATTTGGCTGGTCTCCAAACGTTTCCAAAACCCCTTAAAATGTGCCCATAATCTTTTTTTCTGTGTAAAGTTGTATTTAGTAGTATTTTATATTTAATGACATGGTGCAGGAAAACTGAATTGAATGCAGTGCTTCTTGTACAATCTAAGAGCCCACTTTATATAGTATATCAATCAGGCACTGAAGATGATTTTTAAAGAAAACAGACCTTTAACAGCATACAGTTTACAGGCAGCGTTTGACCCAGCTTACTGCAACATTAAAAGTCCTTCTGCCAATCTCTACATATAGTATACCTTCAACCTGTAGCCAGGGGGTGTTCCGGTGGTTCCAAAGACCCACCACTCACTAACAAAGGTCCAGAATTTACGACCAAGCAGAATCCTCTGTTGGCTGTCACTTCAGTGTGACTTCAGCTAATTCGTTTTGGCCAGTTGCAAGAAAACATACAATCTGACGTAAGAGAAGTCTTCTTTCGCCACTGTATTGTTTTTAAATAGAGAAAACATTTTAGTAACTTTTATTCTAAATCTTTTAGTTATTTTTTATTGTAATGGCCAAACTCTGACTGAGGAAAGTTGAATGTGCTGGCCAGTTTGTTATTTTCCTAATAAATGACAATAGGCTACAGCTTTTTTTATTTTAAATCCCTGTTCATTTAAGATTCCTGTTTATTTCCCTAATAATTATGGTGTAATTAGTTTGTATTTTAAAATGTCTTTATTCTAAATATTTAGGGAATATTTTTGCCACATCGAAAATTGTGATTATGATGACCACCCAACAAGCTGATTCAGCTACAGAAAATAGTTATTAAAATGTCACTATATGTATAATGTAGTATTAAATGTAGTATTTAAATCTCATAATTGAATAGAAAACGAGACGAATAACTGAAAATGGTCAACTTTTTGAGAATAAAGAACCAGCCCTTTCACCAGGCTGGCTACAGGCCTGAATTTAGTCAAATCACTGTATCTGCAAGTTTTGTTAACCAGGAGCCTGTAGATTAATGACAAAGTTTAACTATTGTCATTTTAAAGTTTATTGAAAGTATTTCTTTAGTTTTTCTTCTGTTAAACATATCACTCGAGTTTAAAGCATTCAGGCACATTAAACAATATGATTTGTTGCTTTAACAAAGACTAATTCAGTTACATTTTTACAGTGAAGACTGTCATTTTACATTAATGTTTTAAATACTTGTGTCTGTGTACTGCCATTTATCTTACCAGACAAATATTTATTTTTTTAAATCTCTCATTTGTATGTTTTCCCCCCTAAAAATCTGGTTTAACGTAAATTTTAATCGTTTATTCAGATGCACTCTACTATAAAATCAACCCAAATATTCTTGAAGAAAAAGATAGGCATGGACCGGTTTAAGATTCTGGCGGTGTGATAAGCTTGGATAAAAATATCACGGTTTCACAGCATTGTGATGCTCTAAAATAAGTTATTTTAAAATATCTGGGTAAAAGACAAAAACTTTTCTCCCCATTGAACAAAATATATATTTTATTTTGAGAAACATTTAAAAAAATTTTGGAGCAGTTACCTCATCAGGCTAAATAATTTAAATGAATCATTGACTTCTGTTGTCTTCGGATTTCTTCACAATTTAAGACAAAATATGACAATATCATATTTTGATATCTTTGCTGATGGAGATACTGTTGTCCTTACAAACTAGAGAAAAAGTAAATTTAAAAAAATCTTACACATACAGTTGAAGTCAGAATTATTAGCCCCCCTGAATTATTAGCCCCCTTGAATTATTAGCCCCCCTGAATTATTAGCCCCCTTGAATTATTAGCCCCCTGAATTTTTAGCCCCCCTGTTTATTTTTTCCCTAATTTCTGTTTAACGGAGAGCAGATTTTTTCAGCACATTTTTAAACATAATAGATTTAATAAGTCATTTCTAATAACTGATTTATTTTATCTTTGCCATGATGACAGTAAATAATATTTGACTGGACCTTTTTCAAGACACTTCTATACAGCTTATGTGACATTTAAAGGCTTAACTAGGTTAATTAGGCAAGTTAGGGAAATTGGGCAAATCATTGTATAAAGATAGTTTGTTCTGTAAACAATCGAAAAAATATATAGCTTAAGGGCACAAATAATATTGACCTAAAATATGTTTTAAAAGTAAAAACTCTTTTTATTTTAGCCAAAATAAAACAAATAAGACTATTTCCAGAAGAAGAAAAAACACAGGAAATGCTGAGAAAAATTCCTTACTCTGTTTAACATCATTTGGCAAATATTTGAAAAAGAAATTTACAAAAGGGTTAACAATTTAGACTGAAAAACAAAATACGGCAATGTCTACACCGTTTAAGAATATCATAACATTTTCTATTAACCTTTGTGAGAAATAGTTCAGTTAGCAGACACTCAGACAGTGCTGTTGCTTATAAAAATAGGTTCCACTACCTGTGAGTGCCATGTATGGAGGCTGAGTGGACTGGAAACCGCGCAGCCGGGCCCCTGTGCAGTTCGTCCGGACGCAGTGTTTGACGCAGTCCCGGTAGACCGGCTCTTTGTCCCCCTGAGAGGCGCTGGCCGGAGCGGACAAGAGGAACGCCGCGGCCGCGAGAAACATCAGGCGGGTCATGCTGCTGTCAGTCCGGCCGCTCACAAGGCACAACAGCGCAACATCAGGCCATTACAGTGAGTCTAACGAGAGTCCTGTAGACCGAGCATGACAGTAGCTACTCGCCGCCGCTCTGACTGCTGCCTTTATACAATTGAATGTATTAGAGCACCTTTTGTTTGCTTTCCGGCAACAAGTTTCATACGCGCATCACAAGAGAAACGTTACATTTCAATGGGGAAAAAAAGCAAACCCGGAAGTGTAATGGAACGCGCATGCGCAGGCCTCTCGCTTTCCCCTGTACTGACGGACAAAGTTAATGAATGGATAAATCAATTGAAAGTGATTACGTTAATTAGAAAGGTGCGATCCCTCTCTCTCTCTCTCTCTCTCTCTCTCTCTCTCTGTTTACATAATTATGAGTGCTTATATATCGAATATACGAATAATTTGTGTAGCTCTGCTAAAATATAAGGGTAATTCTTTAACTATACGGGCACTTTTATGTCTTTTGATTATTTATTCATTCATTTTCTTTTCAGCTTAGTTCCTTTATTAATCTGAGGTCAACACAGAGGAATGAACCGACAACTTATCCAGCACATGTTTTACGCAGTGCATGGCCTTCCAGCTCCAACCCATCTCTGGGAAACACCCATACACACTCATACACTATGCGGACAATTTAGATTACCCAATTCACCTGTACCACATGTCTTTGGACTAAGGGGGAAACCGGAGCACCCGTAGGAAACCCACGCAAACGCAGGGAGAACATGCAAACTCCACACAGAAACGCCAACTGAGCAAGCCGAGGCTCGAATCTGCAACCTTCCTGCTGTGAGACGACAGCACCTACTGCGCCACTGCGTTGCCGTCCTTTGATTACACATCCAAAAATATATATAATTTTGTTCAAATGTCTCCTTTTTTGTCAAACTAACAATAAAACCTTTGTTTAAAAAAATTACTACTTTCTATTACATTTTTCATATTATTCAACCTCCTTTTACGTGTCAAAATCACTGTTTTCACCTTGTCACACACTCAGAGTTTTAAACTTCAACAATGAAAATAACATTTTAAAATATTATTTATCTGGTATCTGTTAATGTATCTTAATAAAGCACTAGTCAAATAATTTAAATATTTTATGGTTATTAATGTGAGGCTATTATCAATATTATTTTTTAATATAAAATAAAACATAAAATATAGCTGTCGCATAGTATCAGTGTAATTTCCACCACAACACAGTAATGTCGCTTGAAAAAGTTTGTGTGAAAGATTTTTGAGGTGGTTTCTATGAAAATGAATAGTGCCATCTGAGAACTTGTTCAAGATGGAGGGAATCTACATTTTCATCAACAACACTTGAAGAAATATCAAGGTAAATATTGCTTGATAAGGAAATACATTTATTCTACGTCATTTCCAGACATGTTGTACTTTCAAAAATGTTTTTAAAAACCAAACAAAATTAAGATAAATAAGAGTGTTTTGTATACATGAAAGGCTCAATTCAAAGCTAATCGGTGAAGCTATTTTTCACTTTTTCACAATAAACTGTTTTATGTCATTTCCACCACCTTCAATATTTAAAAACAAAAATATTTAAAAAGTTTTTATCACACATTAAAAGGGTATTCACAATGTATAAGTTCATGCTCTATTTAATGTACAAATTCGGTTTATTTATTTTCTAATAAGCTCTTGACCAAATTAACATTAAGCTTTAGAGTGTGACAGGTGTACAATTCAGCATACAACTAATTTATTTAATTTAAAAACGTATAATTATTATATATATTGCGAAAAGATTGGGTAAACTAAATACAAAAATCATCTTAGACAATGTTTGACTGCCATAATTTATTTCATTTTGAATTAAAAGCTGTATATTGAGATGTGGTGGATTTGAAAAAGTGTTAAAGATTAACAATTTCTCTTCTTATCTAAGTTTGTGTTCTTACAGATCTTAAAACTAGACAAATTGTTTAAACTTATGAGGCTATGTTATGGTAATTTTGAATTTCAAGTTGTTTTTACTCAACTTCACAAGGCTGAAAGTGCTTGTTGAAGAATTGCCCATAAGCTCTATAACATGTTTATAACACAACTGTGAAAATAACATATAGGCCTACATGAATATTTCACATCAAATTTTGTTATAGTGGACTCAGTAAATAAATAAAACTGGCCACTCCCAAGTCTAAACCTTGAAACTAACTTTTTTATGTTGAACAAAAAAAGAGATATTATGAAGAATGTTGGAAGCCGGTAACCAGTAATTGCCTTTCATCATTTTAATGTGTTTAATTTAACTTAATTTAATTTAGTTCTGTTTTTTAAACTTTATTAATCCCCTTGGGGCAATACATTTCAAAATGGTGGTGCTTCACATATAACAAGAATGACACACTAACATCAACACTTAACATCAGGTACAAAAAAAAAACAAAACACAAAAACGAATAACAATCCATCGATTAACTACATTTATTACGTAAACTAGTTGCTTCAGGCACAAAAGTAAATTTATAACGATTTCTAGAACATCTTATTGACCTTAAACACCGACCAAGGGGGCATCCACTCAAGGCTGGTTGGCTGGATTTAGCTGGTTGACCATTTCCAGGCTGGTTTCCAGCCATTTCCAGGCTGTTCTTAGCTGGTCAGGCTGGAAAATGACCAGCTAAATTCAGCTAAAACCAGCTTGACCAGCCTGGTTTAAGCAGGACATAGCTGGTTTTGGCTGGGCTCCCAGCCTGGCTAGCCTGGTCAAGCTGGTTTTAGCTTGTCACCTGACCATAAGACCAGGCTGGAAATGGCTGGAAATAGCTGAAAACCAGCCTGGAAATAACCAAAACCTTACATTTTACAGTTGAATTAAATGGACTTTCAGTCATTTTCGCATAAAATACATTGCAAGACTGAGTAAATACTTGTGTAAGTTTTGTGACACTTATGCTAATTAAGCACTGGCACATTCCAAGCACATGGTAGTTCCTTCTTTCCTCACTTCTGTGCCATTTGCCTCACTTTTACCATGTGCTTTCCACCAAACACAATTGATATAGTCATAAAATTGTCATGTTTGGTCTCGTTTGACATTTTCTGACCTCAAATAGTGGCAAATCCAATAGAGACCAATCTGTGTACTATTGTTTAGACACACCTTTAGGAGGACATGCTAATGTACTTCTCCCCCTCTTTATCTTCTCACCTTTAGTTTCATGTCAGCTGGTTTGGGGGGCTGGGTTGGTTTTTCACTCATGTTTGATAATGCTCAGGATTAGTGAGAATGGCTTTTACGCAATGGTGCTTGTATGCTCATACAATGAGAAAGTACTCTTACTGCAATGCAATGCATTTTGTTAGTTTCTTTGTACTGTACGTTAGTATTTCAATCATCTGTATATTCTTGATATATCCTGAAGTTACAATTCACAAATTAGTCAACAAAAGATTGGGAAAAGTTATCTGGTCTGAAGAGCCTCTACTTCTGTGGCAATATTTGGATAGGGTCAATAAAACTCAATCCATTGTGTAGGAACATATGGGCGATATTTTTCAAAAACTTTAATAAAGCAGTTTTGAATAATAAAACAAATTATATCAATTAATCACTAAAAATAATGTTGTATGATGTGTATATAGGAGCATTTTGACAGCCAGTATATTACAGCTTCTTATTATGAAACAATTAAGACTAATTTTCATCATTTTTTGTGTGTTTACTCTTCTATGTCAAATAAACATTTACATGAAACTATTATTTGCCATTTCAGTAATTAAATATAGTTGAAACCTAAAGTTTACTTTCCACTTTTAGAACATTCATTTTTTATATATCTGATGGTAAATCATACTAAACGTTTACTATTTTAGGTCTGTTAAGATTACCTAAATTATTTACTAAATGCCAGAATAATGAGAGATTTTTTTTGAGAACTTTTATTAATTTCTAGACAGTCAAAAGTTTACATACATTTCCTTGGTATATTTTAGCTTTGCTTTTAAACTGTAGAACTTTGGTCAAATGTTTTGAGTATCCTTCCACAAGCTTCTCAGAATAGAGAATTCGTCCTGACAGAATTGGTGTAACTGAGTCAGATTTGTAGGCTGTCTTGCTCGCACAAGCTTTTTCAACTCTGCCCACAAATTTTCTATAGGATTGAGATCAGGGCTTTGTGATGGCCAATCCAAAACATTCACTTTGTTGTCCTTAAAGCCCATTTTAACTAATTTGGCAGTTTGCTTAGGGTCATGGTCTGTTTGGAAAAACTATTTGTGGTCAAGTTTTAATTTCCTGGCTGATGTCTTGAGGTGTTGCTTCAGTATTTCTACAAAATGTTTTTTCTTCATGATGCCATCTATGCTGTGAAGTGGACCAGTCCCTCCTGCAGCAAAACAGCCCCACAACATGATGCTGCCACCCCCTATGCTTCACAGTTGGGATGGTGTTCCTTGGCTTGTAAGCTTTCCCCTTTGTCCTCCAAATGTAACACTGGTCATTATGGCCAACCAGTTCAATCTTAGTTCCATCAGACCACAGGACATGTCTCCAAAAATGATTCTTTCCCAGAGTAATTTAGCAAATTATGATCTGCCTTTTTTGTTGATTCTGGCTTGTTGATTTTCCCATGTTGTCACTAAAGGAAGCTCCAATTAACTCAAATGTTGCCAATTAGCCAATCAGAAACTTCCAAAACCTTGACACCATCATCTGAGCTTTTTCAGAGGCATAATAATCTTATTGTATGTAAATTTAACTTTCAAGAAAAGTTATAACAATTTCTCCAAAAATATCTCTCTCATATATTAACCATAACCGAAACAAATCTGATAATCCAAACTTACCTAAAAGAGAAAAAGTTTAGTCACATTAAGAACCGACTTGTATGTAAACCGATTAAAAAAAAAAAAACACTTTTTTTTTCAAAAACTTTAATGAAGCAGGTTTGAATTATAATACAAATTATATCAATAAATCACTAAAAATAATGTTGTATGTGTATATAAAGGCATTTTGACTGCCAGTATATTATAGCTTCTGTTATCATGAAGTAATCAAGTCTAATTTTCATTATTTTTGTGCGTTTACTCTTCTCTGTCAAATAAACATTTGCATTAAACTGTTTTTAGTAATTTCAGTAATAAAAAAATATTTAGTGTCTGACCGTATGTTCTTGTCAATGAAGTTAAGTTGGTTATAAAAAAGGGGGGCAATCTGTAATGCACATGTGATTTGCTTTAAATGATGTAATCTCCTCTGGCAGGAAACTCTGGAAGGCATGGGGGGGGGGGGGGCATGTTATTTATTCTCCT